CCTGTACACAAAGACAGCCAGTACTGGTTTGCTTTTTCCTTTAACGGGAAAAGCTACACGTGGTCACGCTGCTACTGCGAATCCCCTGGGGTTTTTCACAGTGCGCTACGTGATAGTATCCAAAGTTTACATCTACCGCATGGTTCGGTTTTGTTGCAGTACGTCGACGACATCATGGTCTGCAGTTCCTCCCATGAAGCATGCAAGCTTGATACCATTGTGATGCTAAAGCATTTAGCTCACAATGGCCACAAGGCTAGTCTGTCTATATTGCAATTTGCCCAGACAGAAATGAGATATCTGGGGCACGTGATCACTGCAGAGGGTAAATCCCTCTACCCCAACCGCCTTTAGGTATTCAGTCTGTTCCAAAACCAAAAACAAAGTAACTGAGTTTTGTAGGAATGACGTCATACTGTAGACAATGGCTGCCAAACTACTCACAAAGAGAGGCTCTCTCTTCCATAAAGATCTCTATGCACATGACTTGGACTGACAAGGCTGAAGAAGCTTTCACAGACTTAAAGGGTTCTTTACAGTCTGTGCCCACACAGGGACTTCCAAAAGCTGACCGACCGTTTACTCAGTTTGTTGATGAGAAAAATGGGTACATGACTTCTGTTCTGACTCAAGAACACGGGGAAAACAACAACCTATTTTTCCTCCAGACTTGACCCTGTTGCTGCTGGACTGCCACTGTGCCTCCGAGTGTAGCAACAGTGGTTGCATCACGAGACATTGTAGGATATGGTGATCTCACACTCATGGAGACATGAGTGCATGCAGTTTCACACATACTACACACAAAAGACATTACATTTGTCTGCGCAGCATTGGTTAAGATATTATACTACTCTTGGACATGCCTAACATCACGGTTAAAAGATGTACTGTTCTTAACCCTTCTACTCTCCTCCCTACCCCAGCAGATGGGGATCCACATGACTGTGTAGTTTCCATAAACCAGGTCTGCACTCCCAGACCAGATCTAATGGATATCCCGCTGGCAAATGCAGATCTTGAGTTGTTCGTGGACGGATCGGCGAACTTGTGTCTGGCCTGGTGGACGCTGTTCTGCTCCCTACTGCAATTGCGGTAATAAAATGTGGCGCACACTAACAAAACAGATCCCGTTTCCAAAGGAAATGCTGCAGCAGATGCGGCTGCTAAGACAGCAGCAGTATCAGGCTCCAGGTTTGTTCCATGTTGTTTAATGTTGGATACACCTGATGAGGTGTCTCCATATGATGATGTTCAAACCATGCAGTCTGTTTCTACTCCACAGGAGTGTGCCCAGTGGGCTAAGTCAGGGGCTTTGTTCCAAAACTCTGTGTGGATGGGGCCTGATGACAAGCCATGTTTGCCACGTGCTCTCTACCATTATTATGCTAAAATGGCTCATGGGAGAGATCACGTGGGCAAGGGGGGGGGGGGATGTGCTCAGCAAATTAACTCTGCGTGGTACACACAGGGGTGTTCTGTTTTTGCCCAGGACTTTTGCAAGAAATGTATGGTTTGTGCAGGGGCTATTCAATTGCCGCCAGCTGGTCATCCAGGTAAGCCTTTTAAGGTGATCACCTTATGATGGACTTCATTCAACTTTCAGCATGTCAGGGAAAGACATACTGCCTGGTTGTTGTTGATATGTTCAGTAAATGGGTTGAGGTGTTTCCACTACCAGTGCAGTGGCAAAAGCCTTACTGACCGAGTTGATTCCCAGGTGGGGAATCCCAGCGGTCATCAGCAGTGACAATGGACCAGGGTGAAAAGTGAATTGCCCTCGGTGGCCACGGCTACTCTCCACAACCTGAAACCTGGAGACATCCAGGACCACAGGAGAAATCCTGTGGTCCTGGATGTCTCCAGTGGCACTGGAAGCAACGGCATTTCTGGGGTCCTTTCCAAATTTAAACCTTTTCCGCTCTCTGACGTTCACCAGACTCTGGCCGGAGCCTGGGACTGCATGCTCACATGCGGCTACAAAATTGACACGGCCCTGTTAGACACTTATGCTAAATGTCCACTCCTTGACACCGTAAACACTGTCACACCTACTC